TCCGGGCGGCCGGCAGGGACGCGGGGCTGTGCCCGCGGCGGTCGGGAACGGCCCCCGGCGGTGCCAGGAACGGCCCCCGGGCCGGCGGTTGGGCCGGGAGCGGGTGGCGGCCCCGGGGCGTTGGGGGTTACAACGAGCGGCGCCGGGCCGGGCGTTAGCGCGGGTGCGAACGGCCCCGCCGGGAGCGCGGGCTGATAAAAAGGCGCTGAGCTCGACGCTCTGAGGCACGGGGAGGAGGAGGAGGAGGAGGTTTTGGGGTGTCCTGGGCTCGGTGTCCTTGGGGCTCGCTAAATTCTCCGCCTCAGACGCTGCCCGGCATCAAACGCAGCTGAGCCCCCAGCGCTGGTGCCGGGCCAGGCCGGGCAGGATTTAACAGCTCTGCTTGGCGCCTGCAGCGCCCCGCTGCAGCCAGCCCGCAATCCTGTGGCTGCCTACATTAAACAGCCCCAAAAAAAAAAAAAATTAAAAAACACAACGAAGCCAGAGTCTTTCTTGAACTACTGAATAATATACAGCTGACCTGTTCATTCTTGTTGTGTATGGGTACAGGCGCTGAAGCCCTCACAAGAAAACGCAGGGGAGGTAATAAAGGAGCAGGATTCTTTCTTGTGTCTGCATGAAAACGGTGTTTAGTGGAGGAGTTAATTTACTCGAGCTCCTTGTGCAGCGGCTGTAACGGGAACAGCAGCCGGGGTGATCATGGTTTTGTGCAGCAGAAAGCTGGGGTTTGTTTCGAGGGAGAGTTTCTCACACCACAGCACTCTGAACCATGATGAATTTAGGTCTTTGCAGGGATGTGCTTGCCTGTGTCACTCCTCCCTCCCACAACAGCAGCATTGTCCCAGGTTCTGTATTCTTGGAGCGCACATTGATACAAAAAGCACCATTACGTTATTTTTATCCATTGATTTTTAATTTTTTGAAGTCTCTGGAACACGTGGCTTGTTTTGTTATCTCCAAGGCGGTGGAAAGGCAGCCAGCCCCTTCCTGTGCTCATTTGCATGGCCCTCTTTGCCTGGAAGAAATACCTGTTCTCTGGGACAGCGTGGCTTTGAAATAGGATACTGCCTGCAATCTTGGGGGGAACTTCTGACTTCAAAAGAGACACCACTGCAGCTGGAGCTGATCCTTAAAAACAATGAGGTGTGTTAAGGAGTTAGTGATGTTTAATAAAAAGTTAAGGAGAAATGTAATCAGCTCTACTCTCTCACCATACCCCAGCATTTTCCTACCCTGCAGCCCTGCAGAAAGGTCATTTGGTGGAATTATGGCAGCAAAGGCAAAACAATTTCTGTTTTCCTCTGCTTTACTATTGCTGAAGTAGGTGACACATGATGGTTGAACCATCATGTCTCCCTACTTGAAATATCTTAAATTTTTACTCATTCTGTAACAACTAAATAAAAGTTTCTGATTTTTAAAAATCCACCTTTAATCTGTACAAAGGGTTCTTTGTCTAAACAGAGCCCAGAGTGAAGTGAAATGCAGAGTTCTGTTCCTTCAGCTTGGAGGTGTGTGGAGAGCAGCAGTGTCCTGGTGTTCACTTTCCACATCTTTTCAAACCCAGAGCTGTTTGCTCCTCCTGTGATCAAAGGATGCTCACCTGCATCTCTGGGTTCTTTCAGAGGCCTGGGCAATTATCTTGTGTTCACGGGCTGAACACTCAGCATTCAGGGCAGAGCTCTCTGCGTTTGTTATGGACAACAGGCAATGAGAATTGTCTCTCATGTTCACTGGTGAACAGCCCACAGAATCCCAGAATCATTTAGGCTGGAAGAGACCTCTGAGACCACCAACCAAACCTGTGACTGATCCACACTTTGTGAACCAGCCCAGAGCACTGAGTGCCACATCCAGTCATTCCTTGGACACCTTCCAGTGCCTGACCACACTTCCCATGGAGAAATCCCTCCTGATGTCCAAGCTGCACCTCCCCTGGTGCAGCTTGAGGCCATGTCCTCTCTTTGTGTCACTTGCTGCTGGGAGCAGAGCCCAAATCCACCTGGCTACAACCTCTCACTCACTCCTCAGGCCTTCAGAAGCAGGAGAAGTCTCAGGATGAGAAGCTGGCCTTGCTGAGAGGGCTGTTGTCACTCAGGTGATCCCCTGGGCTGGCTGCTCTCGTGGCAAGCACAGCTGCAGCCCTGGAACTGGCACCACCAGCCCTCCCACATCCTCCCAGCTTCAGCCAGTGCAGTTGGCACCTGGGTGCCCTGTGCTTGCCCAGACACAGCTCTGCCTGTCACACCCAGCTCCTTCTGAATCACACCGACAGGCTTGTGCTCACAGGCACAACTCGCTGCAGGTCCTGGGCTTTAAATATTTCAAAAATAAATATCCATGAGTGATTTTGCATAAATGAGTAGTGCCGGTTGGTTCACGAGGGAGACCTTTCTTCCCTAGGCAAGTCTAGGAAGTCTTTTAAAGTAAACACATCCACCAGTTACCAGAAAACTCTGCTGTAAACTGACAACTGTTTCTAAGAGGTTGTTGCCAGTTCTTACATCTGTCCCCAGGATAATACAGGCTGGTTTGCTTTAATCCTCAAGACTACATGGCTTTAAGTTGGAATCAAACAAGCATGAACTCAGCGTGGCCACAGCCTGTAATCCTCAGATTTTACCTTTTTGCTGGCCAGGGGCTTGGAGAACTTAATAAATGTATGACTCTTCCACAGCATGTCTGTCTTAAGGAATCTGATTTAAAGGCTTACTCTCCAAAGGTTTGATGATTCATCACTTGTGATAGACAAGGAGAAATATGAAATATGGCCCATGTGTACTGCTGTAACTCCACTGACATTGGACATCTATCATCAACTACCATTGGTATTCTACTCCTAAAGTATTTATATCCCATTATTGAATTCCTCGCAGTCTTAAAGTGTATTTCTCTTCCCAACGACTTTATGAGGTCAGGAAGAACAGTCACAGTCAGGAAAGGGAGCACAGAGGGTGTTCTGCTCTGGTCTTGCAAGGAAGATTGAGAAACTGAGCAGTTCCCTTCTCAAGCCATTGCCAGAACCCCAACCCAGTGCACTACATTTCTTTTCATCTGCACCCTGTTTGCTTGCTAATAAAAATTGATACCAAATGTCCCCCCTTGGAGACAGCTGGCAAAATACAGTATTCAGTGTGCTGGTCTGCAGGTTGGAGCTGAATTTGTTTGGTATCTTTGTATTTTCTTATGAAGTGTTGCTCTTTTTATCTGCACCACAACCTCCAACTGCTTTATGAATTCATCTGCAGTTGAGTTTATCCTTCAGAGCATCACACTTTATCTCAGGTCTTCATTTATATTCATCAGTGGGGATGGAAGTAAAATTTAGCTTTAATTCAAAGGCTAATTTAGGTTTCAGTGTATGATTAACATTCCACAATTACTACCATCAAAGTCAAGCATATGCATAAGTCTCTGCAGGACTGGGGCCAAAACATTTTCAAGTATCCACTTATTCAATACATTTTATATAAAGAATTATTCTTATCTATTATTTATGCAAGGGCCTTAACTAGGTAAATCTTGACACAGCTAGGCCCCTCTCTCCATATAATTACTCCTCATCTTTTCATCTGGTTTCTGCTTTGCCTTGTTATCTAATTCCTTGGGTATGAGAACAGTTCACTAACTGTAAATACAATTTACTCTCAGGAGCAGCAGGAATATTCAGCAATCTCCAAACCTAAGTTTTCAGATAATGTGCAACAACTCCCAACAGGTAAGATCATCAACTGCATAGTTTGGTAAAATGAACCATTAAAGAGTAATCAACACTAAATCATAAAAAGCTCTGCTAAATTATAAATTATTGCAACACATCCAGGAAAAATACTGATTTTTCCATTAAATACCATCATTCAACTACAGCAAACAAAGTCCAGCTAGTCCACTCAGCCAAAGTGGAATCACCAAAACTTTAATACTATATTTCTGGCATGCAATACATACATAATTAAACAGTTTAAAAACATGTACAAGTGCAGTACGCATAACGCAAAGGCAGCCCTGCTGTGGATTGTGTCTATCAGGATGTTCACAGCACCAGTCATAACATTCGCTAGCAAGAAGAACAGTAATTGATTTTTGTTAATAGCACTAATCAGGCACAGCTGTGACAGCTTGTCTTGCCTCCCCACTGGCTCGGCCTCCATTCCGTGCTTTTTCCCGGAATCAGGGGGCTGCACAACCTTCCAGCAGCAGGGCACGCTGGACCCCTTGACCAGCAGCTTTGTGAACAGCAGGGCGAGGTCAGCGAGCACAAAGAAGCCCAGCAGCAGCAGGCAGTGGGCGAGCACCCAGGTGCAGAAGGGCAGGTTGGCCACGCGGCGGGACACGGGCTCCGTGCACGCCTGGCACAGCTGCAGCAACACCGAGAGCACCACGACGGCCAGGGCCAGCCCCCCGAGGGCTTCCAGCCAGCCCCTCACCGAGCTCCTGCGCTGCAGCAGCCACAGCCCCACCTGCACGCTCGCCAGGTAGATGGCCAGGTAGCCAAAGAGGGAGAACAGCCCTTCCCGGTTGGCATCGAGGAAGCCGAGCCGGGAGCCCCGGCCGTCGCTGCCGTGCAGGATGAACGCCTTCAGAGAGGTAGTGCTGAGGAGGAGCTGGTAAGGCACAGCCACAGCCAGAGCCACGAGCCAAGCCTTGTGCTTGGGGAATACGGCTAAAAGCAGAGAGGCTGCGAGCCTCACCAGCGCCAAGGTGAAGAAGAAGTTCCAGTGCACGCCGTACTCCGAGGTGTGCTCGTGGTACTCGATGGATTTGACGCTCAGCAGCCGCCCAGCGCCGAGGGAAACCAGCGGCCACACGGAAAACACCTGCCTGGCCAGGCTGGAGAACCTGGGCTGTGTCCCGTGAGCCTTCTGCCGAACCTCAGGGCAAACGAGAGCATTTCCAAAGATGAAGGCTCCCACCCCGAAATCCATGGCTCCGGTGCCGTAGGTCTCGGCCTTGGCGAATCGCCGGGGATACTGCGGGAAATCCACGGCCAGAATGCTGATGGATGTCAGCACGTTGACATAAACACGGAACACAGTTATTGCTGGAATGCACTCGGGGTCCAAGCAGGCCTTCTGGAATTCTTTTACAATTTGCCCAAAGGGCGCTCTGGCCTCCCGTCTTGTCTGGCTGTATATTTTGGAAAATATTCCGGCACAGAAGGCAGCAAGGATAGCTGGTATGAAAAAGAGGATTGGAGACAAGATGGTGCAGGAGAACAGGAGAGGAGACACCAGCACCAAGAAGTCCAGCAGCAGGCTGTATGTCCTTGAGCTTACGGGTTTTCCGTGGTGCAGGTAGTACAGGATCAGGAGGAGCCCTCTGCAGAGCAGGCACAGCGGAGGCAGGGACAAGCCTGCGGTAATTTCCAGCAAACTCGTTCCGTTCAGGTTGCTGATAAAGGCTTCTTTCAGCTGTTTTTGGGACATTCTTCTTTCCTCCTCTGAAAACACAATACGTGTACTTGAGGTAGCTTTGTAAAACGGGTCTCAGAACTCCTTAAAAATGAATCAGTTCATTAAAACAATGCTGATTTCAGAAGTTACTGAGTTGCTTTTCAATTCAAAGAACACAGAGCAGCACTGGAGCTGACCTGGGAAGCCAAGGACAGGCACAGGCTTGAGGAAGCTCCAGCATTTTACATCCTGCTGCATTCCAACAAGACGCTTTGTACGTTTTGAAGGGAGATGTCTAAAACATCAAATACTCCACTGAATATTCACATCGTGAATAATCTTACTGCTCTGCAGAACATACTTTGCCACATCCTCTATGGTCCAAATGGCACAGATACGTAAAAACATAATCCTGCAGAACATTGTGCTGCCTGGTGAGTACAACCAGCAGCCGCATCCCCCGGGGTGCCTTTTTACAGCAGCAGAACCCCGCGGGATGGGAAAAGCGTGAATTAATCAGGGGTTGTGCTCAGGAGAGGGAGCTTACCGGGAGCGGGGGCACGGATGGCGCTGCGGGGCCCGAGCGGCGGGGCCCGGCCGGGCCGTGAGGGCGGGACGGGGTGAAGCGGGGCCGGGGTAAAGCCGGGGCAAAACGGGGCCGGGGTGAAGTGAGGCCGGGGTGAAGCCGGGTCCGGTAAAGCGAGGCCGGATGAAGCCGGACCCGGTGAAGCGGGTCCCGGTGAAGGCGGTCCGGATGAAGCCGGGCCTGGGTGAAGCGAGGCTGGGGTGAGGCCGGTCCCGGTAAAGCCGGGCCGGAGCGAGGCGGGTCCGGATGAAGCCGTTCCCGGTAAAGCCGGTCGGGGTGAAGCCGGGCCCGGTAAAGCCGGTCCCGATGAAGCCGTTCCCAGTAAAGCCGGGCCAGGGTGAAGCGTGTCCGGGTGAAGCCGGGCCCGGGTGAAGCCGGACCCGGTAAAGCAGTCCCGCGTTCTCCGCCCGCACTTTCGCCGCTTCCGCAGCGCCCGAGCCCCGCCCCCCTCAGCCCCGGCCCGCGCGGCCCTGAGGGCACCCCGCGCCCGCCGCCCTCGGGGCCCGCCCGTGTCCCCGGCGTGTCCCCGGTGTGTCCCCCGCGTGTCCCCGGTGTCCTTTGGGTCCCCGTGTGCCCCGGGATCTGCCCGCACAAAAGGCTCCGCCGGGATGGATCGGGCAGGGCTTTGGGGATGGGAGCGCGCCCGGCACTCCGAACTGACTCCCCAGTGGTGTTTTCGTGCGTGAGGGAGGAAATTCGGGATGGGATGGGAATAACAGTGGAAGAGGAAGGGGAATGGAATAAGAAGAGGAGCTGAATGGGAATGGAATTAGAATAGAATGGAATTAAAACAGTTAGGGTATAATAGAACAAAATTAGACTAGAATTAGAATGGAATAGAATGGAATTAGAATAGAAAAGGAGTGGAAGTAAAGGCAGCTTCAGCTGCAGGAAGGACAGAATTCTTCCTGGCGGTGTGACTGGAAACTCAGCGTTTATCACAGAAATTCAAAGGGCCTGACTCACCTTGGGCTGGCTCCCGGAGATTTTCAGAGGAAACAGGAAGGGGACAACACAAACTTCTCCCCGTCACTCCCCTTCCCAAAGCTCCTCTGGCACTGTCAGACCCTCAGATCTGCCCAGTTTCTCCAAACAGGAGGAATTGAACAAGTAGTTGCAGTTTCTTGCCAATAAAACTTGATTTATTAAAGAGAAGCAAAGCATTTTATTCCTGATGGAAGGGAAGATACACAATTCCCTCCAAAACAGCTTTATTTTCAGGGGCAGCAGCACATGACCATCACTCTGGGTAGGATTTCCATCTCCCATGTCACTTGGGCCCCCGGGATCAGTAATTCTGTCTGAAGTCTTTGGGATTTGCTTGTGGAACCCTCTGGAGAACGCCCAGAGTTATTTTTATCTAAATTCCTTTCTATTTTCTTTATTTAAGCACTCTCCAGTGTGATTTGAATGAAGTACCCTAAAGTAAGGGCTCTCTTCAGTGTTCCAGTCCACAGGCCTGGACAAGATGCCAAAGCAGGTAAAAAGAAAAGCAGGAATTGTGTGTGCTAATTAAATGTTACTGCCAGGAGAGAATTCTTGGCTTATTTCCACACAGCCAAGATTAGGTAACTTCTAATGAATATTCACCCCTGCTTCATGAATTGACTGGCCCTGTTTGCTGTGGGTTTGGGCTGTATTAGAGACACCAGGCAGTGATTTTTGTTGTGCCCTGGGCTCTGACAGGGCAGGTGCTCATGCAGGCAGCAAGCACATCCTAAGGGTGTTTGCTCAGGAAGGTGAATGGACACGAGAGTTGGGATTTACTGTCAAATATTCTTTTACTTTTGGCTGAGCAGGGCAGCAGAACCAAGCCCTTCCTCAGGCCTTGCAGTCTCACAGTGGGTTTAACTTGCCTGCTGTGACACAGGAGCACGGGGAGAAAGGGGAATGGGCAGGAGCTCCTCAGTCCATGCAGTGTTTCCTGATTGTGGTGTCTGTTCTCTGACAGCAGCAAGCTGCTTAAAGCTCATTCAGAGGAGAATAACACAAATCACTTGGATGGCAGGGCTTTACTGCGTTGCTAAGCTTTTTATTTCCCCTTGCTGTGTAAAATTCTGTATCACTGGAAATGAAGTATTTATGCTGTCTGCAAAAGATAAAAATTCGCCTAAATGAGTAGCTTTTTTTTTTTTTTTTAGGAACGTGCTAAGTGGGGTTTGGAGTGCATTTCCCATATATTAATGAGCTCAGCTCACATTGTGAGAATGCTGCTGACTAAATTTAGCATTTTCTGTACAAAAAAGGTGATGCTGTCCATGGGTTAGCTTGTGGTACAGGTGAGCAGGGATAGTTTGGAGACCTTTTTGTCAAAGAGGAGATAACAAGAGGAGTGTACAGAGTGCAGAAATCAGGACTGGCATCTTTTCCATTCTTCATTTGCTCTTCTAGCCTCTCCTTTCCCCAGAAATGGCAAACAGGTCCTGGAATCTCTCTTCTGGCTGGTTTCCCATTACATACAACAAGTGTGTCCTTCCAAATAATGTTGTGAAGGACATGGGAGCCCAGAGGCTGAGATTTGAATATTTTAGGTGATTCCAAGGGGACAAAACTCCAGCTAAGGCAGGGCAGCTCTTCCCCCAGCACCACTCCTGTGATGTGTGCACTCTGCAGCTTTCACCCTGAAAATGAGAGTCTCTGCTAGGAAAGCTGCATTTGTTTTGGCTTGCAGGGGTTTCCAGCTGCACCTGCAGCCAGCCCTTCCTGCCTCCCTGAGCCCAGGGCACTGCTTGGATTGAGTGCATCACATGCAAGGCTTAGAAGTGAGCCAGTTGCAGGAACATGGTGTGGGGGTGTGTGTGTGTGTGTGTGTGCAGAGCTGCAGTGTGAGCCCAAGGCCACGTTCTCTGAGTGCCTTTGCTCACAGCCAGAACCCTTTTCTAACATCAGAGCAGGAGGAGGAGCAGCTCTCTCTCAGGTCTGGCTCCTGCTGAGACTGAAATTTGGTGACATGGAAGCAGCAGAAGAGCTGGAGCAGGGGATGAGGTGAAAGTCCAGCTCTTCACCTCTCACTGGTGCTGATGTGATGTCCCCTCCAGGAAAATGGCCAAAGGGAAGATTCTCTCATCCAGAATGACCTCAGTGAATCATTTGAAGAAGAAGTTAGAGCCTTCCTCGGTGATGAAGAGAAACTGCATCTTTTTGATGACCTCACCAAGGTGAACCCAGTGACAACCAGGACAGGTGAGCAGCCAGGGAGTGTCTGAGGGATCCCTTTCCCTGCTGGCCACTGACACGTGGCAGCTGCTGCTCTCCCTGCATTAACACCATCAGCACAGGAGTTCTGTATATTACACTCTCTTGATCACCTCATTCTCTATTAAACCTGGTAGGTAACACACCTGAGACTCTTGTTACCAACAGGCACAGCACAGGTCAAACACACTTTGCAAAAGATGCTGACAGAAGGTGTTGCTTTTCAGTTCTGAAATGTCTTCAAGCAAGATACAGAGTCAACCTGTTCTATACAAATGCTGGCTGCAGCCTGGTGGCTTTAAATCCTTTCCAGCCTTTCTCCTGCCTCTACTCACCTGAGCTCATGAGGGAGTACCACGTTGCACTTTGTCCTCAGGTAACCCTTGTGTGTGAGATCACTGACCTTCTGCAGAGGCCAGGTGTCAAACTGCTCCAAATTTATCTGAGAAAATACTCCCACAGGAAAAACCCCATTTCTTGTGAAATATTAGTTCTGTTAGAAGAGCAGTGCTGTTTTCAGGTGAATTTGGCATGACCCTTGCTATCCATTGCTGTTGAACTGTGTGGTTATTGTACTCTTAAATGTGAATATTCTCTTTCACTGCCAGGATTTAAAGCCTCACATCTTTGCAGTGGCTGAGCAAACCTACAGGAATGTCCAAAAGCAGATGGACCCTGTGAACCAGTCCATCATTGTGAGTGGAGAAAGTGGTGCTGGGAAGGTAAGGAAATGTTTTTCTGTGACATTGCTCTCAAGTTTTGAGCTCTGCCAGTGATTTGTAGTGCAGAGTAGTGCAGTGAATGAGCAAAGATGAATTAAAACCCCTCTGGCACAGCACGTAGCCAATCTGCCCAGCACGACTCTCTTGAAATGTGTGTGAAGCATTAAGTGATTGCTGCAGTTAAACACACTCTGCTTAATATAGCAGCTCTTCAGGTGACATCTGTCATTTCTGGAGGGCTGGGTTTGAATCATTCAGCAGGAATTGCACCTGAGTTCATGCCTCAGCCAGGTCTGTCAGGGAGCTCTGTGAGTCTCAGCAAACCCTCTGTAAAGACTCAGAGCAGTGGATTCAGCTCCTGCCCTGGCCCTCCTGTGATGGTCCATCCCTGCTGGGACAATGCTGAGGGTATTTTAAAGCTGCTTTGCTGAATGTTAATGACTCAAAATCCATTCACATTCATTCCATCCCAAGGCAGTAGCTGTTCATTCTGGCTGAGCTTCCAGATGGTGACACCTCGGTGGAGCACTCCCACTGCAGCAGCACTGAAATGTGTCTGTGGCACAGAGAGTGCACTGAACCAGAGCTCTGAGCCTGACACAGTTCCTCTCCTTAGCCTCCCCTCCACCTGCACACGTGTTTCCAGGAGGCAGCACTGCTCCACTGCCAGAACTGATGGCATGTTAAAGACAAAGAGCTACTGTCACATCTCTCCCTTGCAGACCTGGACCTCTCGCTGCCTTATGAAGTTCTATGCCTCTGTTGCTGCCTCAGTTATCTCCCCAAAAGGCAACGAAACTGTGGAAAGGATAGAGAAGAGAGTGCTGGATTCCAACCCTGTCATGGAGGCATTTGGTAAATGTGGCTTTTTTAGCAGCAAAGTGAAGCAATGGGCACTGTGGGAATTTCCTTTGTTCCCACATGAGTCTAAGCTATCTCTTGCTCCTCTCCTTACAAACAAACTCTTCAAATACTGGAGCTGTTTACAGAGCACCCTAAATACCTGTGTGTATTATATAAATATCACACCCATGATATAAACACCTGTATTCCTGTGCTGCATGGCAGAGTGGGACCACTCTGATTGTCTGTGTCTGTCACAGGGAACGCCTGCACCCTGCGGAACAACAACAGCAGCAGGTTTGGGAAATACATCCAGCTCCAGCTAGACAGGTGAGAATTACTGGATAAAACCTCACCTGTTGTCTTGGTCCTTTAAATCTTTATCATTTGTTCCTTTAAAGTTTATTTCTGAAATCTGCTATAGAATATTTTATGTCTTTTAGAGTGTATTTTAGTTTGCTGGCAGCTTAAACTGTTATTATTTTCCTTTCATTTTTTTTCTTTTCCTACAAACTCTTACCTGATCTCTAAGAGAGAGCAATGGAAAATAGAGATGTAGTTAAGAACTCTGAATAAAATATGAAAAAACTGAAGGTGAACTGTAAAGCATTTACAGTCAGTTGGTCTCAGAACAACACAAGCCCTCTTGGATTCTGTGAAGAGGTTTTGTTGAAATCTTTG